TCCCTTCACAGCATTGCTTCTTTGTACACACCACCATCGTTTATTCTTATTCCTAAAGCATCATGCATCGTCCACGTCTTTGTTTCGGCGCCCGCATTGCGATGCGTGCTGCCTGGACGCTGACATATGCTGCGCGCACCACAGGCGCATCGATCCTTCGGCCAAAACACCACGCCCACCATCACATCAATACCAAAGTCGCGACCATCACGGCCACGCCTCACCAACCAATTCCTCCAGATCCAGGCCGCTGCTTCTCCTGGTTCCACGCTTCTGGTTGGGCCCCGCCTGTCAGCAAACATCGGCGGCGTATCAACGCCATCGGGTAACCTTAAAGCTGAAACGCCCAGGGGTTTGAGAGCATCATCCCGACAGCCACGCCGAAATTTGGCCCGAAGGGGTCCGTGAGAGCTGACACGTCAGAAACACCTGCCCGCTGAACGTGTCGTTGGTATATCTGTAGAAGCGCGCCTTACTCGCGAGATTTCTCGGGTATCTACGACTGATCGTCCCACGACCGTGCCTGGAGGTTGCTCCTGAAAGATCTACGCATTGCAGCCGCGCTTCAGCCGCATTGCCCCTCCCTCTCCAAAGCTAGGATCAGCCCATCGCGTTGCCAGTTTACAATCGCCCGAATTGGGAGCACGGGGGAGCTCTTTCTGCTATTTCCACGATACTCACCCGCACAACCTGAGCAAGTAAGTTGCCGATGCTCCTCCTTCACCTCCTCAAGCTCCCCTCGCCTCTACTTTTAACGCTCTGTTTGGGTTATAAACACTCTTCATCCTCATACCACCTGTACTCCACATTCCTTTGGCTTCAAGATCTCATTCCTATATTCCCATACTGCCCACTGCATACGTGACTGGCCCTTTGCCTACAAGTAGCCAGCCCACCGAGCCTCCGTCAACATGACTCCCGACCAATCCACAATCATGCTGGCCGCGGCGATGTCGCCAGCCTCCGGTATCAGAATGGCGGGCGGTCGTTGGTACCACGTTATCTTCACCTTCTTCCTTCACCTCTTGACCTGCGGCGTTGGGTCGCGGTTGTTCGCCTACAAGTTCATCAAGAAGCAGACTGTAATGTGACGGGATTGCTCTGGACACTAGCTAACGAAGGCAGCTCGGCGGCCCGGTCAGCGGCCCGGTCACCGTTCAGAAGGTCAAGCCGCCTGGGAAGCATCATAGCATCTTCCGACGCTTCAAGAAGCGCCGTCCTGTCCCGGTTCCCGTCAAGCCGGTTGAACCTCCTAAGCCGGTTGAACCTCCTAAGCCGGAACCGCCTCGCCCGGTACCTGCTCCCCCTCCAGCGCCACCCGTATCCGTTCCAGTGCCGGCACCTCCGCCGCCGCCAGCACCAGCGCCGCCTCCGGCACCCGCGCCGCCTCCGGCACCCGCGCCGCCTCCGCCCCCGGTTGTTGTACCGGATCCTCCTATCCCTCAGGTACCATCCCCCTCCTTTTGTTCCACATGTCTTCCAACTGGAGCTTTGGAATGTTCTGTCACAAGGAAGCTGACTGGTGAATATGCAGCCGCCCCCGTTGTAGTACAGGAACCGGAGCCCGCTCCTCCCGTACGCCGGAACACCTTGACCTTCGTCTCCCCGTCTGGACCGTGAGTGTTTCCCCCCCTATTTTGAGGGCTTGCTGATTGCAGCAGTCCTGTTGAGGTCATTCTAATTCGTCCCTTTGCTAGGCCGGAGCCTCCCCCTCCTGCACTCGTTGAGCCGCCGCCGCCCGAGGCGCCGCCGGCACCTCCACCGCAGCCAGCGCCAGAGCCAGAGCCCGTCCCGCAGCCTGTTCAACCCCCGCCAGCGGAGCCGCCGAAACCTCTCGAGCCAATCGCTGAGCAGCCTGAACCCGCTCCTGAACCTGTCGTTCCACCACCTGCTCCAGAACCACCTGCTGAGGAGCCACCAGCGGATCCTGCACCTCCTGAGGAACCGCCTGCCCCAGAGGAACCGCCTGCGGAGCCTCCTGAGGAACCTCCTGCCGAGGAACCCCCGGAAGAGGAGCCCCCTGAAGAGGAGCCACCTGCCGAAGATCCTCCGGAAGAAGAGCCCCCGGCAGAGGAGCCCCCCGCAGAAGACCCTCCGGCCGAAGACCCCCCAGAAGAGTAGTGTCCATCAGAAGACACACCATCTGCAGACGGTCTTCCGATCCGCAACCAAGTTCTGGAAACGGGTCTAGGAAGTGGTATCAGTCTCTTTCGGCATAATGAAGTCAGCGATGTGGAAACGACTGCCTCGTCGGACAAAGGAGCCCCAAATCGGACAACCTGTTTTGATCGAGACGACGTACAATGACAGGAGTCTAGACAGTATGCCTAGTGTCTCCGAGGCGCAAGATGCGGCCGAGCCCAATGTGGGCCAGGAAATGCCACCTAGGTTTTCTACCCTCCCACCGTAAGTATCTTCTACTGTTGTACGGGTAGTTCATAGCTCATGTGTTGCAGGCATCACGTAGGAAATTATAACGAACCCTCGTACAACCGCGCTTCGCATGCTCCTACAGCCTCATCTATTTATTCCGACTTTCCGCAGAACACCTACGAGTACGAAGGCCAAATGCCCCACGAAGTGTCCCCGCCATCGTCTCCAGTGTATGGTGGCGGCCATGGGGATGGCGACGTGTCACCCATCGACAGCGAGCCCTACGAATTTGTCTTGAGGCCAGAGTCCAAAGTGGTGCAGAGTCACATCCCCGTGCGCAAAGCCGTGCCTGGGCCAGGGAACTACGGCCTCCCGAGCAACCCCCGTCCGCCAAAGGGTACCCGCTGGGACAAATATTCAGGGGAACCGACAAACGGTCCAACCGGCTTGCCCCCACAGGTAACCCCCGGAAGCGTAGATTTCTCACAGCCCAAACCCCTCCGTCGGGTAGGCACCGCCAGCCCCGAACCCGCGCCCACAGGCAAAGTAGCAGACCAAACCTCGCGCCTCACCGACCGGGGCCTCGTCGTCGACACCCGACCGCCCTGGAAAGGCGCCAGCGGCCGCGAAGCCATCGTCCCTGTCCCAGCCGACAACCCGAAGCCCGCCAACGCCCCTCCCGTCCTACCCCGCGCACGCACAAACCGCACGAGTGCCGGCCCAGGCGGTAACCTTATGGGACAGGAACAGGGGCGCCGCGTGGCGCCTGTGGCTGCGACGTCAATGCGCCCCGTGCCCCGCTTTGCCCATGATGAAACGATAAAGCCTACCCCGCCGCTCAAGGCGGGGCGCAATAGTCCGCCGCGCATCACTTCGAACCCGGCGTCGCCTACTTATGCTCCCGTCTCTGCTGCGCCCGCGGTGGTTGTCCGGTCCGCGACGCCCCCGCCCGAGAACGCGCGTGTAAACGCACCTGCCGATAACTCCCCGCCTGTTTCCCCGCAACGCGACGTCGCTACGCCAACAGGTGCACCTGCAAACAACACGCACTCGCGCGAATCCAGCACCGACGCAGACGCAAACCACAACGCCAGCCGGTTTAGCTGGACAACCTACGCCACGGGCACTAGCTACCAGCAATCACCACCCCCGTCACCGCCTCCCCCCCTCCCCACCAACCTCTTAACCTCGAAATACGCACCGCAGTCCGTGATGAGCCGCACGCGCCCGATTGCGCGCATGGATGGGCCTGAATCATCGCCTGCCCCGAGCGTGCGCAGCCGCAAACCCGTCCCCTCGACGGCATCGAGGGCGCCTGTTCCTTCCCCCTCGATGGCGCCAGTCCCTTCCCCTTCGACGCCCGAGCTCGATCTTCAGTACTCCTTCTCACGATTCAACGTCAAGGGCCTCGAGCCGAGTACTCACGACCTCACGAAATACTCGCCTTCCCCGGCGGGCCGCGGCCTGCGCGAGCAAATGATGAGCAAAGCGCAAGCGCGGAGCCAGTATGCGGAACAGCCGCAATCTGAACGCGGGGAGAGTCCCGCGTACACGCCCCGGCGCGACTCAGACGCCACGCTGCGCGCGCGCGCGGAGACCGATCTCTCCGTTTCGAAAATGCGGCACGGGAGTCGCGCGCCGAGTCTCGCCCCTTCGGCCGCAAGCACGGGGACGCAGAAAGCACTCCCCCGGACGCCGAAGGAGCATGCCGCCGCCGACCTTCTCTCTGCGCTGCAGGCTCAAGAAGAGGACCTACTGACGCAGCGGGGGAATCTGCAGAAGGCGATGAGGGAGGTGCAGCGCACTACGCCGCAGAATCCGCTGATTAGTGATATCACGGCGAGGAGGGAGATGGAGCGCAGGGTGGGGGAGATACGGGCTGAGTTGGAGAGTGTGGAGTTGGGGTTGCATGATGTGGGGCTGCGGTTGCATAGGGCGAATAAGAGGAGGGATGTGATTGAAGGGAGGAGTGCGGAGACTTTCTGGGTTAGGAGGGTTACGACGGGTTAATGTGGTGGATCTGGGTGTGGGCGTTTGTGAGGGTTAGCAGTTACTGGCAGAGGATTCGGGTCGTGGATGGCTGTACGGTTACGGCGTTCACGGTGTTACTTCACTTCGGTGCGGAGTGTAATGTCTGATCGTGGGCTCGGCTGGGCTACTGTACGCGTAAGGCTGCCACGGCACTACATTGCGTGGGACTGTATTACTTTGCTACTTTGCTTTCTATCTATTCAGCATGGAGCGCGGTGGTCGAATTCCCCTAGATGAACACAATGGTGCGGTTTATGGTTAAGGCTGCGCTTGAGTGAGGATGTGATATGCTTTGGGTGGTGTTTGAGAGATGTGCAGTGCCCCTGAGATGCGCAGTATGGCTTGCCTTTGCGGCCCGGTCCTGATGTGTTAAAGGGAGGATGACTCGGATGGAGCCGGGATTGTCAGGGGTGGGTAGTCTGCATTGCAGGATCTAGACTGCTTCCTCTCGAGGCCCAAGATCCCGACTCCAAACCTTCAACTACCAGAAACCCTCACAGATCCCGTTCGTGCGTATATGAGTGCTCGGTCCGTTTTGGACAAGTGGTTTTAATGCTTATCATCAATGGGATGGATATCCTTTTATCAAATCATCTGGTCTTATAGTGTAGTTGGTTAGCACACGGGATTCTGACTTTCAAGAAGCTTCCCGGGACCCCGGTTCGAGTCCGGGTAGGACCTCTTTATTTGGACTTTCGTCCTTTTTTTCACCTTCATCGTCACTATGTTCAAGTCCGTGTGGTGTGCTTTTTTTGGTCGAGGGTGGAATTGCTTTCGCCATTCGTGGGTGCGGTCCGGAAATGGTTAACGGACGTCACATTTTTACCTGGCATTGAAACCGACGGTCTTGCTCCGCACGTTCAAACGGCAACAAGTGCGGAGTAGAAGTATTTATGAAAGATGAAGAACAGAAAAAGAGAAAAGTGGCTGGGCCTACCCATATCTAGATACACAATGTTGTCCGTATCCTCCTTAACTCTTTCCATTACCACCTCCACCGCTTCCCCAATGGCGGATGCTCCTCCAAAAGGGTTGGTCATGTAGAGACTTTCCTGTGTCCACATCACCAACATTCTTGGAGGAGCATCTTCAATGCCTCCATGAGCCAACCAGCCCCGCCCACTCATTCTCGATGCGATGTTTACCCCAGGTATGATCCCCAAGCGAATATTTGCTCTGAAGGAGCTTCCCACACCACGCGCACCGATGTACATCCCTCACATGTTGCGCCGTATGCTCGGGTTTCCGGAATGTCTTTTTGCATTTGGGACATGACGTTGACGTTGTTGTCCAGTCTTCGAGATCGGCGTCGATGCGGTGCTTATCCCGCAGGTGTTGATCGAGAGCGTTTTCATGGGGGAAGGTTTTGTTGCAGTGGGGGCAGGGTTTGCGTGCCATGGTGCAGATCTTGGTAGTAGCAGCAAGTACTCAATTGAGGAGTTCGAGGACTGAAGTAGGTAGTGAGGAGTTTGGAGGTTGAGGGCCGGTTCGCTGAGAGGAGATCGATGGCGAGGGAACTCGACTGGAAGGAGGAGAAGCAGGAAGTGGCTATGGTCGTTCTGCTGGGGGCAGAGTGAGCTCGAGAGTGGGATTTATGCCGCTGAACTGACTGTTTCGAGATGCAGACTTTGGTACCGTGCAAACGCAGACATGCATCTACCCGGTCTTCCCTTTGAGTCCGGCTTCACCGTCCAGGTGGAGGGAGATGAATCCGACATCGCTGATTGGAGCTGGTGTGATACAGTACGGGAATCCGCTGGGACTGGATGAAGTAGGCAGCCATGGCTTGATTCGAGCGGTATGGCGAGATACTATGGCAAGGCTGAGGCGAGGAGCTTAGGCTTTCACGAGCGTTTAGGCAGTGGCAGTGGGGTACCGACCAGCCAATTTTCTATGAAGTTAACGAGAGACGTCCCATTGCACTAAGATGCAAGGTACCGATGATGTTGCACCCGAATTGCGGGGTGCAGCTCATCGGACATGACACGCTTGGAGCCTCGAAGCGGCACCAACCCACTTAGACTGGTAGCTCCATCTCGCAGGCAAGCCACGATCTGCACAGCCTCGGCCATTCCGGAAGCGCACCATAGGCTCGACGAGTAGGATAGTCAAGACCGGTGTGAGAATTGAGCAGGTGGTTTGGAGCGGCGAGGCTGCCTTCTAATGGGAGGGGAATCGGGAGGTTGAAATAGCAAGCCGGAGTAGCGGTACGTCGGGGTTTTAAGGCGATTTTGCGACGAGGTCGGTATCACCGACCTTGTTACCTGTTGGTGTAACCGCGACTGCGGCTGTGCGTGTACCTGGTACGTCTGCGGCGTCGGTCTCCCGGGTGGGCGCAGAAGCCGGCCATTTTCAGCCGCGCGCCAAGGCAATGCTCAACCTCACCTCCAACCTCACCTCAGTGCTAAACACACAATATCCCAGCCAAACCTAGCAAACTTCAGAAGCCATCAATGGGACTACCCGGCCAGTACTTGGAATCAACGGAGCGTCTATCCAGCGCCACATGTGGTCGCAACCTGGACGGAAAGCCGTGGCGCAGCTTCCATAGGATGTGGAAACACGCAGCAGATGCGTGTTTGCACCGCCTTCGTCCCACGCAGGCGGATACCGCTCCTCAGTTCCTTCCGCATTTGCCAGATCGCCCCCCTTAAATCCCTCCGCCCCCGTCTCTCTTCCCCTCACCACCTGGAAAGCCCACCTCCGCACCTCCACCCTCAATCTCCGTCACGTCCCCTTCATCCTCATCCCCCCACCCACCACCTCCCACAATGCCTCTCCCCTGCCCTCTTTGTTGGGTGTCCTTCCTTCAGCCCACCTCTTGCGTGTAGCACCTGCGCGACAAGCACGGCCGACCGAACGCCTGCCTTTTCTGTGGGGACGACTTCAGCAGCTCGATCGGGCGGATGCAGCATGTAACAGCCAAACACGGGGCGTCAAATACTAAGCCGAGCACCACAGATGGCAAAACGACCACCAGCGCGGGCGGGAAAAAGACGGAGAAGCAGCGCTACCGCTGCGAGAAATGTGGTAAGGACTTCGGCAGCTCGATCGCGCGGGACCAGCATGTGGTGACCGCGCACGCTAGATCGGACACTAATAACGGCAAACCGAACCATTAGCACTGGTGGGAAAAAGACAGAGAAGCAGTGCTACCGGTGCAAGAACTGTGGGAGCGTCTTCGGCAACTCGATCGCGCTGGACCAGCATTTAAGGACCAAGCACGGTAAATCGAACACTACAAACGGCAAACCGGCCACCAGCACGGGCGGGAAAAAGACAGATATACAGCGCTACCGCCGCGAGAAATGCTGGAAGGACTTCGACAGCTCGGGCGCACGGGACCAGCATGCGATGACCACGCACGGTAAATTGGACACTACAAACGGCAAGCAAACCACCAGCACGGGCGGCAAAAAGATAGAAAAACAGTGCTACCACTGCGAGGAATGCGGGAAGGACTTCGGCACCTCGAACGTGCGGAAGCAGCATGTGAGGACCAAGCGCGGTAGATCAGACACCAAACCGGACACTACGAATGGTAAACCGACCACCAGCACGGACGGGAAAAAGATAGAGAAAGAGAGCTACTGCTGCGAGGGGTGCGGGATGTCCTTCGGCTTGTTTAGGGCGCTCGACCAGCATGAGCTGGTCATGAGATATGGCGAGGAGAGTGAGGAGTCTGAGTTCGACGGACTCGGCTGGCCGACGAAGTGCCACATCTGTGGAGAGCAATGCTACAGCACCTTCACACTCCAGGAGCACATATGGGTTAAGCACGATAAACGTGGGGGGCCGAAGTCCGATTTCGACCTGAAGTCCCGGACCGAGGAGAAGAAGCCAGCAGTCGATGGCATTGCAAAGAAAGCTTCAGATATGATCCTGTGTGGCGGCTGCGAGAAAAAACTTTCCGACTTTGCCGCCCTCAAAGATCACTGCAGGCGTGTCCATTCCCCCCTTTGGCCACCATTTATCATGTTCCCCTGTAAACGCTGCGAGAATGAATTTCCCAGCATTGAGGCCTTCCGCGATCACTGGGAAGCCAATCATAGTGCCCCCTTGGGACCTTTCCCTGGGGCGGGAGGCGAATCCCATCATATACCTTCGACTCCGACACCACCCGTGGGAGAAAACGCCGGTTCTGGCTCGACATCCCGGACCGAGGGGAAGAAACCAGCAGTCAATCACTTTCCGGATATAGTTTGGGATACGATTCATTGTGTACCCTGCGGTGAATTTTTCCCAGCATCGAGGCCCTCAATGCTCACTGGGCAATCATCCAACATGATATCTGGCCGCCAGAGCCGTCGGTGGAAGATGAGGACAGCGAAGCTGACTCGATGCCTGACTTGGTGACACCAACACCCTCAGAGGGCGGTGAGTCGTTGTGGGGCAACGATGCTGGAAAGACGCAGGAGGATGGAAAGGAAGAAATCAGCTTCCACTGCACTTCGGCTTTTCTACCTTCTAGCTGGGACGCGGACGCACATTGTCCCGAATGTCAGAAGGTATTTTCTGATCCGGAGGGTATGAAGCAGCCCCGGGAACATGTACACGGCACTGCGTCCAAATGTCCGACTTGTGGTAAACGGTTGAGGACGGCGGAGGGAAAGGAGCAGCATATACGGCAGTTTCACATGCCAACAACCCACGTGCGTTCCGAATGTCACGAGAAGTTTGCTCAAGCGGAGCGTATGCAGCAGCACCGGGAACAAGTATACAGCACTGCTTCGAAATGCCCGGTTTGCCAAAAATGGTTGAGGACGCCGGAGTGAAAGGAGCAGCATATGTGGCAGTTTCACAGGGCAACCTTGTAGCCGTAAGGAAGGACCGGTGCTGGATGCATGTGTTTGGAAATTCAAGTGGAATTCAAGTGCTGATGCCGATCAACTCGGCTTCGCTGCGAGGATGGGAGAACGGAATGTTGTCGTTGTGGTTCATAGGGCCTGTGGTCTTCTTCGATATCACTCTTAGCGGGATAGCCTACATATCGAGTGAAATGACAGAGAAGCGGAAGTCTAGGCTGGGTTATCAGCAAGATTAATCTCAGCTATCAAGCATCAGTATAAATTGAGCGTTCTCAGCAGTGATATCCAACAAAGCTCACCGAACTTCAGAAACCATCAATATTACCAGACCTACTCTTGGAGTATACAGTTCAACGCCACATGTCGCAAAAGACGTAACGCGGCTCCCGTACTCTATGATGTAGAAACACGCAGCAAACGCGCGTTTGCACCGCGTTTGTCCCACGTAGGCGGTCATACTCCTCGTTCCTTCCACGTGTGTCGGTTTCTTCCGCGTATACCAGTTCCTTCCGTTTGTGCCAGACCCCTCTCCACAAACCCCTCCGCCTCCGCATCTCCTCCCCGGACTACCTTAATACCCTAACAGCCGTACCTCCACCTCCGCAACCATCCATTCGCACCTCCACCTCATAACCTCCACTACCAGCGCCTCCCTCTCCCCCCTCACCCACCACTTTTCACAATGCCGCTCCCCTGCCCCCTTTGCCCCCAGGTGATCTTTTCTTGCCATTCCTCCTGCGCGCAGCACATGCGCGACCGCCATGATCGACCGAATGCATGCCTCATCTGTGGAAACGACTTCGCCAGTGCGAGTGTCTGGGTCCAGCACGTGAGCACCGAACACGGAGAATTAGACAACCCGGACATCAAGAC